CGGACCAAGCAGATTGTCCCATTCAAACCTTTTATACATGCCAGCTTGACTTGAAATTTTCGACAAGTTCAAACAGGTTATGGTCCCCGCCATCATGGTGCCACTGAGGAGATGTCTGCTTTCCACATGTACACCAGTTATCTTGTTTTCGCTTCGTCTGCTTTGATTTCACTTGTTTTTCCTTCAATCAACTTGGTGTTTTTCACCACTGCTCCCAGGACCTCCTCCTGCTCTATGGGCGTGGGGAATGGACCAAACAGGTTATGGACCCCGCTATGTTGGTGTCATGGAGGGAATCGTGTGCACCGGTTATCTTGTTTCGCTTCATCTGCTTCGATTTCACTTGTTTTTTATTCGTTCAACTTGGCGTTTTTTCGGTTCCACTGCTCCCAAGACCTCCTCCTGTTGTATATGCATGGGGAAGTGACCAAACAGGTTATGGTCCCCGCTATAATGGTGCCACCGAGGGGATGTTTGCTTCCCGAGTGTGCACCGGTTATCTTGTTTTGCTTTGATTTCACTTGTTTTTTCTTCGTTCAACTTGGCGTTTTTTCAGTTCTCCTGCTCCCAAGACCTCATTCCGTTCTATGGGCATGATCAAGAATGATATCATACAACCAACTACTAGTAACTATGCTCCACTGTCAATTGCTACCTGTGGTTTGCACACTGACCAGTTTCTTAGGATCATTAGGATCTATCTCCACTGCACCTGTTCGCTACATTTGACTCCGAAAAAATTTCACTCACCACTTGTTCACTGAATTTAAGACCTTTGTTCAAATGCATTGTGATACAACCAACAAGGAATCCACCCAAGAATCAATAGGTGACAGGGACAGGTAGACTCGTCACCAGTCCACGTCAGACGTGTTCGCAACATTTGTCGGCCTCACATAGCAGACTGGTGATGAGTCTATCTTTCAGACCTGGTCCCTTGGTTGGTACCAGAAATAGGATTAGGTGTTGTTCTTCAAGGTGGGTCTGATATCCAAGAAGCCATTAGGGGAAATCAAAGATGATTCCCCTCAGGTACCAGGTGTGATACCAATGAAGTCATTAGCCACGAGTATCTTGCATACAGTCGTAAACTAGGAAGCACAACATTACGTAGAAGAGCAACACGCGAATTTGGCCCTAATAACCATTCTCCAGCAGGAAATCAGGCACTTCCTACCATTTGCAAGGTCGCTGAATTCGATGGAACGGTTTTTGGAACATGGAAATCCCCCGTTTAGCTTGTATGCCCGCGATTGCTCAGAAATTGCCAAATCTGGGAGGAAATTTGATGTTCTCTGCTTTTTTTTGGAGATTTCCATGGGACTGCTTGTGCTCAAATAGTCTTTGAAAGTTAAATCGGCATCCCCAAAAAATTTGGACCGATTTGGTTTCTAACGAACTCAAACGAGCTGATCTTTCGCGGAATTTTGACCTGTAAGGCTCAGCCGGGAATTTTGCCGTTTGATCCACCTACTTCTGAGTGCTTCCCAGCAGGTGAAATTCATTGTATGATATCTTCGGCACCCCAATTCACCTATATTGTGCTGTCCCAACCTGTAGGAAAGGCTTCAGGGTTTGTTTGTCTGTGTTGCGCTTCTACGTTAATCGGCCAAATTCGGTGATGCCGAACTTTGGACCTCAATCTCACTCAAAACAGCTTCATTCATGGCAAACTTTTTGCTGAATCCATAGAACACATACAGGGAGAGTGCTCGTTTAAAAAATTCCGGGTATATAGCACAATTGCTTGGAATAATTTGCCGAGAATGCTAATTGTTGCGCTTCCTAGTTTACGACTGTACTTATTTATACTGCACTCCCAATGTAAATTTGTTACACACATCACTCTTATTAGGGGAATCGAATTCAACTTAATTGTGTATAGTGTATTTGGATGTACATGGGTATATACAGATGAGCTGGGAATCAGGAGGAAACAGGAATTTTTCATAGAGTAAGCTTCTATTGTGATTTAGGGAGTCTCAATGTTTTCTTAAGTAAATTAATAGCTTTTGTCCTGGTTTTCTGTCTCAATGGATGTGCATCTGTAGTAGTGGGGAGAGGTGCAGATGACACTGGATGAGCAATAACAGAAGAGGAGCCTGCTGATAGCGCTACAGGTCGCTGTAGTGGGTGGAATTTTTCCTGATGATTGGCCATGCTGGTCAGAGTGTCAGGATGCTCCTTGCCCAGCACCCGCTTCCTTGCTTCCAAAACTGCGACCTGAAGCTCTTCTGCCTCGTTCAATTTGCCCTGTTTCCGGTAAGTAGACACAAGATTGGCCATGCTGGTCAGTGTGTCAGGATGCTCCTTGCCCAGCATCCGCTTTCTTGCTGCTAAAACTGCAACCTCAAGCTCTTCTGCTTCGCTCAATCTGCCCTGGACATGATAAGTAGATGCAAGGTTGGCCATGCCAAACAGGGTGTCAGGATGCTCCTTGCCCAGCACCCGCTTTCTTGCTTCCAAAACTGTGACCTCGAGCTCTTCTGCCTCACTCCATCGGCCCTGGTTACAGTAAGTTGATGCAAGGCTGGCCATGCTGGTCAGAGTGTCAGGATGCTCCTTGCCCAGCATCTGCTTTCTGCCTTCCAAAACCACAACCCCAAGCTCTTCTGCCTTGTTCAATTTGCCCTGTTTCCGGTAAGTAGACGCAAGATTGGCCATGCTGGTCAGTATGACAGGATGCTCCTTGCCCAGCACCCGCTTTCTTGCTTCCAAAACTGTGACCTCGAGCTCTTCTGCCTCGCCCCATTGGCCCTGGTCCCGGTAAGTAGCTGCAAGGTTGGCCATGCTGCTCAGTGTGTCAGGATGCTCCTTGCCCAGCAGCTGTTTGCTGGCCTCCAGAGCTGCTACCTGAAGTTGTTCTGCATATTGATAATAGCCGTGCTTAGCTAGTACCCATGCTATCCAAACTGCAACACCCTTGTCTATGCTATGCAGAAATGGTTCAACATCCTGCATAATGTGATGCAAAATCTCGAATCGATATTTATAGTCCTCTATTTCAAATTTCCACGGCACAGATAAACCAAGTATGGCAAGAACACACTGTTTCATATTTGTCCTTGAGATTGACAAGGCACTCCAATGCTGAACCAAGGGATGGACATTATATGAATCGTCTGACTGATTCTGCTCCATCAGTGAATATGACTGCAGCTCTCTGGTCACTTCGCTGAATATCAAGGAATCCCAGTCTTTGTTTCTTCCTCCAATTTGAGTGAGGAGTTCTCTGACTACTTCCTGCAAATCTGAGTCTTGTAGTTTTTTCTTGGATGATATAGCCCTCTTAAAGATTTCTTCCCTTATGTTTTGATGATGCAATTGTGAGCAGATCTGTAAAAGTGTTTGTGCAGGCAAACTAAGCTTCTTGAAGCTCAGATCCCAAGTTGCATATACTGCTAAAGCATACTGGCTTTGACCTTGAATGCCGCTTTGTGCCAAAAGCTTGTCTCGAGATGATTTATAGACTTTCAGATAGCTGGTCAGTTTGCTGCATGTATAAATGTATCCACCAGCTTGGGCAACAGCAAGAGCAAAGCAGTGAAGTTCCTGGATTGTATCACTAACATGAACTCGTTTATCAAAAAACCCTGCTGACCTTTACAATAGCTGTAGCTAGCTCTTCTTTGTTAGGAGCCTGGGCTTTGGTACCAACCAGCTTCAATAGCAAGTTCTTTGCGTCCTTGACATCCAGGTCTGAAACTCTGAAAACTTGTCCATTCAGACAGAGTTCTGCATGCTGACAGACTTCAGGATTCCGAGTTGTGATCAAGATATTGCCAAATGAGCAAGGAGGGAAGAATTTCCCAATGTCCAATTTGGGATCATCAGCATTATCAAATAGAAGGAGCCATTCACTTTGCTGGCTTGCAAGCCATTGCAAACCTTGGTGTGCAGTATCTTCAGATCCCATAGGTGCAAGTAGCTTTAGGTCTGTTTCTGCTGTTTGTTCACTTGTGGCATCAAGGAAGAAAATATCAGAAAAGCTTTGGACAACATAAGTAATCATTTGTGCAATTTCGAACTGTTGACACACCGCTTGTTGGCTTGTGCCTCCTGCACAAATTTTAGAGCAAGCTGGCTTTTTCCTGAGCCACCAAGGCCATACAAGACAAAAATATGTCTGGAGCCTTGATTTTGACCAAAAAATTGATGCATCTGTTCAAGGATATCTCGTCTACCTGTATAAGACACTACTGGTGGAGGACAAGGTTTCTTGTTCTTGGTCTTCACTGAATCCTTGAATTCAACCGGAAGGGCTATTGCAGGTATCATGAGCACTGTCTCTCTAGCCAAATGAGACAACCAACATACCACTATGAAAATTTATGTTGTTGGATGTAGATGTAAAAGTAACTTGGGGACCTTGTCCCAAACCACCGAATCCACCTTGATTTGTCCCCGCCCCACCTGCACCTCCAGTACCACCTATAGTGTGCATCTCACACTCAGGTAAGGAAAGATCACAACATAAGGATCCATACCAGAGATTGCTATTGTATTCTGAGTTGTTTGAGAGGTTGAGCCCATCCTGAAAGTGGCTGCAAATTTGTGTCCTTGTCGTCAAGGTGTGAGAGTTGTTGCCTCATGTTCACACGTCAAAGCTGTGGCACCAAAAATACAATGCTTAGATAATACTCATTGTCTGGCGGAAAGAGGTGATCCAATAAGTAGAATAGCCAGCGTCCAGATGACATATGTACATGAAGGGTCAGGTCATATTCTAGTGGTGATTCTCATTTGCACCTTGCACCCTAGATGGAGAGTGTGGTGAGCCTAAAGAATGGAAGCAGTTGATGAGTAGTTCAATTCAGTCTTCGACGAATACCGCGACCATTTGGGCTGCGGCAGAAAATAGAGAGCAGGGATACCGTATTGACATTGACAAGATATTTGTTTTGTTTTCAGTTTTATGAGAGCGTTGGTGAGTGGATTTTCATTCTACTGCTTCCAGGACCTCCTCCTGCTCTATGGGCATGGGAAAGAGCCCAAAAAACTCCCGCTTGGCTCAGGGGTAGAGCGTGTCACTAGTATATTCTGGGTATGACAAGGTCAGTCGTTCAAATCGGCTAGCGGGAAATAGTGGAAGAATCCCTTTTTTTATCATTTGGCCAGATTTTCGTCCTGTGCCCCAGAACCTAGCATATTCTTTCGTTCAACCGCATTTCCAAAGTGCTGTGATTTACTTGTACGTAGCCAGCAGCGGGACTACCTGTGATAACATCTTAACCGGTACCGTACTACTTATGCTGCGTGCGCAAGTTTGAAGTCCATTCACACCGATGTCCAACAAACTTTGACAAAACCCTTCCAGATCGTCTCGATTGTCTACACACGAGAGCTCAGAGCACAAGAACTCCAGCACCAATGGGCCGCTCCGTACCTGCAATACCCAAATTGGATATTAGGCCAGGGCCCTCGCCAATCAACTTGTCAATCGCATTTCTCCTCCACGCAACATGTCACCTAACGTCCTGCTCATCCCCACCATCATTGCCGGCTGAAGAATCGACCAACGATGCGCGGCGCCGCGTTCGCGCTGCTAGCATTGGCCGTCGCCGCTCTGCCCGTGGCCACCGTTGCGCAGGACTTTTCGGCGTGTGCCAAGAACTGTCTGGCCAGTGTGGGGGGGACAGGTCCTGGTGTGCAACCCTGCGCCATGTAAGGCGGTGTTTTCGTGCCCCCCACTTCGTTGATGTTATTTCGCAGCACAGACCTGATCTGCTTGTGCACGAAGATCACGGGCTTGGAAGTAAACTGCCTTACGGACAGTTGCACTGCTGCAGAGAAACAAGATGCCTTGGACATATTAGGTCGCGCTTGCGAACCCTGTGCGTGGATTCTCTGTCTACATATTCTCTCATTAAACGACACACTTTAGCCGCCTCAAGTACAGCTCCTACTAGCTCCACGCCAGCTAGCCGCTCTAGCACGACCACGAGCTCAAACACACCTAATCCTAGCAGCTCGTCGTCGTCCGTGCCCAACTCTGCCGGAGGATCTTCCTCACTTTCTGCGACAATCACAACTCCCCCACAAAGTTCTAGTGGGGGCGCAGATCCACCAGGCGGTCCTATGGCTACATCAAGCAATCATACTGGTGCGATCGCGGGTGGAGTTGTAGGCGGGATCGCAGCCCTCATCGCGTGCGTCGGGGCTGCAGTCCTCCTTTGGCGGCGGCGCGCAGCGGGTGCACGTTCGCCCGGGGCGGAGGAGAAAGGCGTTGGGCGCGACGAGGGCGGGAATCCGACAAGCGCACAGACATCGGAGACGGGAATGGCGGCGGAGCTGTTGGCTCTGAGGGAGGAGGTAGAGCGCCTCAAGCAGGAACGGCGCAGTCCTGGCGTTGGTGGTGAAAGCGGAGTGGAGGCCATAAAGCGGGAGCAAACGCGGGTCATCATCGACGAGCAGCTCAAGGCCGAGCAGCCCCCGTCGTACCTCGCCTCGTGGGAGAACACAGGAGGCGCCGCAGAATCCGATCCCGGAGGCAGGGTGGAAGGAAATTCCTCTGGCGCGGAGCCCGTCACCGGTACGGCCGATGATTATGACCCATACTCAGAGTATCGCCCCGAAACGCGGACGGATAGCGGCTCGAGTCCGTTGTCGACAAGATTGACTCCGGTACGGAAGAAGGCAGAGGGATAAATCTAGGGTTTTCACGAGTAGAACGACTTCATACGACGTTTTTGAGCCAACGTTGATCCACTTCTGGTATTTTGAAAGCCCTCAGGCTTGTTTCAACTCCTTGACGTGAGCGACAGCCTTTGCCCGAAAACTTGCCTCGACGTTTGCTCGACGTATCCCTGGGCCATTTCTTCCCGAACTTCAGTTTTGTTCGGCGTTTGATTTGCGAATGCGACAGCCAGCTGTTGGTGCCGGATCTGGCCAGAAAGAGTTTGAGAGGATAGACTGCGGTGGGAGGTAGTTTCGGGACACGGGCCGGCCATCCCGCATTGACCAACATTGAGCAAACAAACGATCTTCGTGTTGTCGTCGTTCCACAACCACCTGGAAATTGGAATGCTTGGTCGCTTTCGATTCAGGCTACATGCAGTCGCTCACCCCACTTAGTTCAACAGTCTTCTCCTGCTTTTTTGAATCCATGAACATCTGAATTGCGCATGATGAACGCGGCGAAATTCGAATAGCCCACGCCTTTGCACGCTTCTCAATTATCTGTTTCCCGAATCGAGGACTATGATGCATACATACGGCTGAATTCTGCAATTCTCCGATCGTATTGGCGAGTTAAAAATATCCAGATCCTCGTTCGGTAATCTTTCGCGGGGAGCTTCAAATCCGCCGGATCTTCTCAACCAGCAAGAAAATCTGTCTCTTGCGTTGCCCTTGTGTTCGACTCTACGACTCACGTTCCACCGCTGCTTCACTTCATTCAACTTAGAATCGACCCTCAAGTTGCTTTCATAATCCATACACATTCTGTGGTCGTAACTGAACCAACTACTCGGTTCCAGGATTTATATGGTTGCCAAGGCTGTTTAGCTTCCTGATTGACATGGGCTCCAGCATCTTTCTCAATTATAAAACAGGTCAAGACCGGATCCTTGCTCCTCGAGCACCATGCTTCCTTCCCTTCTTTTACCGCTTTCTCTCTTCGCTGCCGTCTCTTGCACTACCCTGCACTGGAAAGACTGTGCGTCGTCTCCCAAAGTACACATCCAACCCACTCAACAAATGATTCATTCCCCACAGATCTGGTGACAAACCCACTCCCGAATGTAACCTACCCGCTCCCCCGCAATTTCGCAGGAAGCGTGCCTGTGAATCGAGACAGCCATCCCAACAATACCCTCTTCTTCTGGGCCTTCGAAAACACGCCTGGTAGCCTCACTGCACCTCAAAACTCGTCACAAGAACCGTGGATCATCTGGCTTAAAGGTGGTCCTGGTTCTTCGAGCTTCATTGGGCTGATGACTGAGGTGCGATGGGACGAGTGTAGGTCACCGTTTGTGGGTCTCACAATATAATCTAGAATGGGCCTCTCCGTGTGACGGGAGATTACTCGATCGTTGACAATCCATATAGCTGGGACAAACTGGCGGACATAGTATACGTCGATCAACCTGGTGACTTCGAACAATTTACAACCTGCTTGAAAAACACGTCTCATCACTCTTCCTAGTCGGAGTTGGATATTCAACGTCAGACCCTGGTGCAAACGGTACATTCAATATTCTCATATCCCTGGAACTCTAGCGCTCAAGATCGATTCTACTAGCTGCCGACGAAAATCAAGTCGGAGAGGACTTCGTGAGCGAGCGGTTTTTTTTTCGCCAGAATAATGCACTCGTTGACCTCTACGACCAAGATCGGCTTTCTCTCCAATTTAGTGAATATATTCCCCAGTCTTGCGACTCGGCCTTTGTATTTAACGGGTGAGAAACTTCGCTTGATCAAACAGCAAGTTTCTTACTTGGAGCGTAGGCGAAAGCTATGCAGGAGTTTACATTGTGAGTCCACCTAGAAATCAGACGTCGATACTTACACAGAGTTAATTCTATCTCGCAGCCATACATCACGAAAGCGATCTTTTCAACTCCCCACACACCAGTCAAGCTGAAGAAAATCGCAATCGGCGACGGTGCCATCGGCGAATACCCCACTTCTGGAGGAATCACGGTCTTAGATATCATTGCCACCTATCCCCAGCTGATAGGCTACGATGCCGAGGTTTTCGAATATTTCCAAACGCAGTCAGTATCATCAACACCAAAATTTCTCTTCACTTTGTTCAAAGAGACGTCATTTTTCTAGATACCAGCTCTGCGGCTACGATTTCGAACTGACCTATCCGCCAACTGGCCCGCTTCCTTATCTTTTCGATCCTATCTATGAAGCCTCACCCAGCGATAATCTGCGCCGTCGGTCTCTCGACTCAGGATGGAGTGCAATTTTCTCCCGCAGTCGTGAAGTTTCGATCTCGAAAAGAGAACAAGAAGAGCGTCGGAGCGCGTGGAAGCGAGATCTTTCTGGCCGCCCGAACGGAACTCTCGATCCATACTACGGTTGCTTCTTGCTCATCGAACTTCAAGATTACGCGTCGAACTACTCGTTTCCGTTCGGTCAGTGCATTCTTTCGATGTCGAATTTTGCTGAACACTGGTTACTTTATAGACTTGGGTGGATTGAATGTTGGTGTCTTCATTGAACGACAGTCTCTATGCTGAGCTTATATCTGCGCATTGCTAGCCATACGATGTTACAAGCGCGTTGCATCCTCCTGTCCCTGCAGACGCCTCGATTTTTCTGAACGGTCTGTCTCTCCGTGCCTTGAGAATTCACAGATCGATCCAAATCATATCGGCAGACCCTCGTACACGGGCAGCTATACACGCGCCGAGCGGAAAAACCTGGAAGAAGAGCGTCGATTTGAATTGGAGTACGTCACTCGCTACTACTAGTAGCCCTAGTCCCCTCAACAAATTTTTTATCTAGCTGGGACGGCAACTCCTAATTTCCAAGGCGATCCTAGTGCGTTTTCTCATCCCCAGTCAGTGCTCATGAAACTGATAGGGCAATTGTTTCAGGTCCTCTGTAATTTTGCCTGAATTGAACCAACACGTCGAAACTGACTCGAGTTCAATCTCCAGGCCGATAACGTTCCTCAGCGAACTCGCTGCCAATGCCAGCAAGCATGACGTTGGAATTGTGTTGTATGTGGGTAACGACGATTTATTGGTTGCGCACCGGGGCATCGAAGGCAGGCTGTTTTACTGCTTCTCCATTTGCACGGTCGCTGATTAGATATCCAGCGGTGATACAGGTAGGTGATTTGGCGATGTAGCTGGCATAAATATTTGATCCCGTTTGAACGAACCAACCAAGAACTTCACATTCGGCGGAATCCAAGGCTTCACCCGCAAACCCGACACGCCTTTCACAGACGACCATGGGCGATTCAGTGGAATCATACACCAGGAGCGTAACGTTACGTATGCCCTGTTCGCTAACGCAGGTCATTATGTCCCTGAGTCTGTTCCTGAAGCTGTAAACTTCCCTCATCTCTCGCGAAATTGAATTGCTGATTATTATATATATGGGTCTCGATTCAGGCATTC